TTTACGAAAACTGTCAAAAAATGTACATTTTGAACTGTGAACAAAGTTTTATTGGAAATTAAAATACAAACTTAACGAGGTATCCCATTCGATTTTCCAACCATTTTTGGCTTTGCAATGAGAAAAATACTGAATTTTAGGGGGGAAATCAGGGTGGACCGAATTTTTCATTTTCGGAAAGGGGTAGCATCGTCTAATTTTACGAAAAATGGCCAAAAAATTACGTTTTAAACTGTGAATACAGTTTTATTGGAAATTAAAATACAAACTTAAGGAGGTATCCCATTCGATATTCCAACCATTTTTGGCACTGTTATGAGAAAAATACTTATATTTTGGAAGCAAAATCACGGGATGATCCATTCCCGAAACGCTTGTAACTTATTGATAAGATAGAGCCTTGCTTACCAAATTTTTCAAGATAACAAGAAAGTTAAGTCAGGGTATTTCCCCTTCGCACTTATGTCACTTTAATTGTCCTGAAATTTAAGCCCAACTCGTTTGGTTGCAAGTGCACGCGTCGTGCTTTTGTTGCTGCTCACAAAGGAGGCTATTTACCACAAAAAGGCGGAGCGGGAGGGTGTTGTGGAAATAGAGAACGCCTCCACCTTGGCACTGGAGTCGAGTCCGCATGCTAATAAAATGATATTTTATTGCTTTTTGGCGGCTCATCACAGCAGAATGAAACTGCAAAATGGCAATGGTGGTGCAGAGGTGGGTGGCAAAGAGGGACTTGGGGTCCTTGGCCAATAGCCATCTTCCATGGCTAATTGCCTTGGGAATCGTGCGTGGCCTGTAGACGCCTGTTACGCATTCCCAGAGATTAAATGCCCCATTTGAAATTGACTGACTGACGGTGAGCGGCGGGAAAAAGTGGGCTAGAAAGAAGGCGGCCTGAGGTGGGAGTATCTCGTTGTGGAAATTGCCGAGTGCAGATCAGGACTTGCAGGTCCCTGACCCAGTAATTGGATGTGAAGAACATGCCAAAACGCAGAAAGCCAACCAGCAGCAATCTCGGGATTGTATTTAGATGGCGGCGACTGGAGGGGATTCAGTCTTTGTGCAGAGACAAGCTGGGGCAAGAAACTAGCCCAAAACACGATTAACCCACATCTTGGACGCGATCATAAATTATTATGCAGCTGGGAGCAGGCAGCAGGCAGCAAGCAGAAGTCTCTCGGCCTGAGATGGTCGCGTGATTCTTGATGATGGGGAGAGGGAGATGATGTCCAAAATATGACCTAATTTAATGGAAACAGGACTACAAATCAGAACTATTTTTGTCTGACTAATATTTGTGTTTTAAATTAATAGTTTACTTCTTCAGCATTTGAAAATATTATTTGGTTTTAATCCTTCTTCCTTTTAGAGGAATCAGTCGTGAGTGGACCGATCACGCATCCACCTCTGAAGAGGGGAATAAATATGTGGATGAGAGGCAGGCGCATTTTTCGGCTGATTCTGCAGCTTCAATTCGAAGTTGCAGCACACGAACATGACTTTCTAGCGGATTTCTTTGCATGAGCTTTTGTGGGGAATCGAAGGGGACTCCGAGACGGGTTTTTGTGGGGGGCAGCAAACCATGCAACTATTTATGCGCTGTTGCCGAGGCTTCCCTCTTCTCTACATTTAATTATTTTGTTTAAAAAAGTTTTGACACCGCGACGCGCATGCAGATTTACAGTCCGACTGGGGTTGGGATTTTTCTCTGTTTCTTTCTGGTTTTTGAAAGCGGGAGTGGAAGTCATAGGAAGACTGACAGTCCCGGCCATCGGCTTTTGGCATGTGTGGCGGAGCAGGGGCGACAGCCGTGACAACAAAATGTTCAAAAACAAAACGAAAAAACCACAGAGGAAAACATTTTGCCACTCAATTTTATGTTTGCCGGACGAGCACGAGCTGCAGATTGGCTGGGATTGGACTGCTCCCTCGCCCCATCCCCTGGCTGCTCGGCGGTGGGTTGTTAGTTGTTAGTGCCGAGTGTATCTAGATTAAGGCGCGACAATAAGTATTAAGCATTAAGTTGTCTTTGCCACGGCGGCGTGTGAAGTGCCGTCTCCATTCCGACGACTCTGACTCTCCGGGTCAACTCTTTTGTCCACACTCGTACGACACTCGTTGCGATGTGACAATACAAATCGCTGGACGAGTGGGTGGCTGGATTTCTGTGGCCATGGGCAGGAGCAGGGGGTTACTCACCAGTTTGTGGATTTGTGAAGAATCACTTTCTGTTAGTGAGGGGCTCACTCATAAGTGACAATATCCTTATGTTGACTTAACAAAGTTTCAGATGGAAACCAAAGGTAGAAATCAAGACCACCCAAAGGTTAATTTAAAGTTTTATAATCGTTACTTTAGTAAACTTAATTAGATCAACCTTTGCCGTGAGAGCTGGGTCAAATTCCGCCCACTCTGCCTCTGAAGTTTTCCCTCGGCCTAGTCTGACATTTTCCTTTTAATTTATGCCACCAACTCGGGAGATTACACAGATTGCGGGTTATGCAAATTATTTTGCCACCGTTGCTGCCACAAAGGCTGCCGTTCGGCTGCTGCAGTTGTCTAACTTTAAGTTAAAGCCGTTGTGTGGCTTTAGTTGTTCGCCTGCCCACTGACAGCCAATTTGGCAAGTCAACCGCGGGGGACAGCGCGGCTAACGCGGCGTATGAGCGATGCCATTTAAGTGGCGGCGTGTAAAGTAATTTTAATTATTAGCCAGCGAACGTTTGTTTGTGCATTGTTTTTCCAGCTGATAAGCAAACACAAATTGAAACCGAAATCGAATTGGACGCCGCACGCATTCCTGGCCACTCGATTGGCCACAGATCGGCAGGCCATATAGGAATTTTAATTGCCCCGCCACCGAAATCGAGCTTCGGAGCACCTGCTCTCCGTTTCCTCGGGGGCTGGGAACGGTGCCAGTTGCTCATACGACACGGTGGCCGGTCGGACTGGGCCCCAGCTCCCGACTGCAGTCAAATCGAGTCAAAAAGTTAATTACAGTCAATGCGGCAAACGATTTTCATGCACTCTTGACACCGCCCGGTACGTGACAATATGAGAGGCAGTCTTTCAGAGGCGCGCAGTTTTCCTCAGTTGAGTTGAAAAACCTGGGAGCAAAGGCTAAATTGAGACGCTGCTGTCGCTGCCCTAATGCACTCAGAAATATGCACTGACAAATGGTGTAAGCTCCAGCTAACATTTTAATTTGACATGTCTGAGTTGTTTTCTTGCAACTTCTGTAAGAAGCCAGCTAGTAGTTAATAAAACAAAATATTTACTCCTTATTGTCTTTCAGAGTTCTGAACATTTCTTTTAGTGCACCTCATCGATTGATCGATCCCATGAGCTCAATCTGCACTTGGCTGCCCCAGATCCCAGGTCCTGGAATTCCGTCTGCCCTGGTACTTACGCAAATCGCCAGATTGAACCGCCAGTCTGCCGTCTACCCACTTCTCATTAAAACTTTCTTCGCTGTCTGCTCCACAATTACCGGAACGACTTCATCTGCTCGATCCATGGAGATCCGCGGCTAATGACAGACTGGGCAAAACTCTGGCAAAACCAAATAGGAAATCATCGACCGCTGCAGCGGTCAATGGGTTAATTTAAGCCACGAAAAACACACAGAAATCAATTGGAGAATCCCCGAAGATGGCCTGCAATTAATCATAGATCGAGGCTCTTCTTCAGCGAAAGTAATTTGAGGCCCACCAGAGACCCTGCAGATGGGTTACAGCTTCGATTATCGTAAGGCCCACCAGGTGGTCTTGAGTCCATGGACACTTTCACATGTCGCAGAGTTTGCAAAGCCACAGAGAAATGTTGAGAGGGGAAGGGAAGTTCGACTTCCCCGAGAGTCGAACATGCAAATGCCTCATCAATCAGCTCCTCCGCCCTTCCCCCGAAATCGGTGACGGGGTTTTGACACAAAACCCGGCTACTATGCTACCGCTTGCACATGGCAATCAACGCGTCAAGCGGCCAGGAAACGGACCCCGATTCCGACCCCAACTCCAATAGAGAGAGATCCCTGTCTCCAGCACAGAGAGAAAATATGCAACCTAAATCGATGGACTGTGTCACGGAATCAAACTTTTATATTGGGTTTAAGCAGATTTGGCTCTATGATACATCGATTTTAAACAATAACCGTCTCCCCCAACACTAGTCCTCCAAATGCATTAACGTGGTAAATGGTTTGGCTATTAACAGAAAATATTAGCAATAAAAAATATATTTTTTGTTTATGCTTCTTCGTGTGAAAATAATGGCTTTTTGAGCGCTGTGCACTCAACATTTCCATCCCATCTCCATTTCCATCTCCGTCTCCGTCGCAAACTCCCCATTTCCATTTGCTATTTGGCTACGAGCAACATGTGTGAATTTCTTTGGCTTGCAGTAGGCAGCAAACAATTTTTGACAGCTGCCTTCGAAATGGGAACGGCCAGCCAAGGAAAATGCATCCATCCTCCAGAGCAGTTCTGGGAAATCTGCAGTCTACGGACTTGTTTGTGGGTCAGCCCATAGAGCCGAAAAGAACTGCAAATGGGCAGACTCCACCCAGAACGTCGGGGCTTATTAGCTGCACGCTAATTTATTCCGGCAAACAGAAGGCCGGGCTTCTGTTGTCGAAGACTTCAGAGCCTCGATCGCAGACGGCCAGGCGCCAGACCAATGCAAGTTGTGAAAACTGGCGATTGCCTGAAAACTTCTACACACAAATGAACAGTCCGAAAAGTGCTCGAGGAAAATCAATAAAATTAAAGAATGCTTCCTACTTTTGCAAAGTACATGCGAACGGGGTACAAAGTTCATCTTACAAAGCTGAAACTCCCATAAAAAAGTATAATATCTAACTCAAAGTTCCGACTTCTAAAGACCTGGCCCCCTGGCAGGGTGTTATTTTTGGGTCACCGTTCTAATAGGATTGAAAAGCCATGCGACAGTAGGCCTAGATCGATAGCCTTTCAGAACGTCACAGCTGCTTGAACAGTCTCCATACTTGTTATTCGTTCTCATTTCGTGCCTGAAATCAAACTACAAATATTTAAACATTGAATTACTGCGTATTTTCCATTTGTTGCGGTTTTGATATTAATTACAAGATGTTCCGTTCGTGTGTGTCGCAGGCTATCAGCTCGAGCCTCTCTTTCACGCGAATGTACTCGAAGGAAGTGCGCTTCGGACCCGGAGTCCGAGCCCTGATGATTCGGGGAGTTGATATTTTGGCGGATGCCGTGGCTGTGACAATGGGTCCCAAGGGTCGCAGTGTGATAGTGGAACGACCCTGGACCTCACCAAAGATCACCAAGGATGGCTTTACGGTGGCTCGTTCGATCGCCCTGAAGGATCAGCATATGAATCTGGGCGCCAAGTTGGTCCAGGATGTGGCCGACAACACTAATCAATCAGCGGGAGATGGCACCACCACAGCAACTGTTTTGGCTCGAGCGATTGCCAAAGAAGGCTTCAGTCAGATCAACAACGGAGCAAATCCAGTCGAGATTCGTCGAGGTGTAATGCTCGCCGTGGACGTTGTGAAGGATAAGCTGAAAGAGATGTCCAAGGCAGTGAAAACCCGCGAGGAGATCCAACAAGTAGCCACCCTGTCCGCAAATGGAGATACCGAGATTGGTCGTCTGATCGGAGAGGCCACCGATAAAGTGGGGCCTAAAGGAACTATTACTGTGAAGGACGGCAAGCGGCTGAAGGATGAACTTAACATTATCCAGGGCCTGCGCTTCGATACTGGCTATGTGTCGCCCTTCTTCGTTAACAGCGCTAAGGGCTCTAAGGTGGAGTTCGCCAACGCTTTTGTGATGATTTCCCTGAAAAAGATCACTGCACTCTCTGAGATCGTGAAGGGTCTGGAACAATCTATGAAGCAACGACGTCCTTTGATAATCATAGCCGAGGACATCAGCGGCGAGGCCCTGAACGCTTTGGTTCTCAACAAGTTAAGGTTGGGTCTGCAGGTCTGCGCAGTTAAGTCGCCCAGTTTTGGACACCATCGCAAGGAGCTCATTGGTGATATATCCGCTGCCACGGGAGCAACCATTTTCGGCGATGACATCAACTACTCCAAGATGGAAGAGGCTAAACTGCAGGATCTGGGTCAGGTGGGTGAGGCTGTGATCAGTAAGGACAGCACCATCCTACTGCAGGGCAAGCCCAAGGCAGGACTTCTGGAAATGCGCATCCAGCAGATTCAGGATGAACTGGCTGACAAGCAGACCAAAGCGGAGCAGAGGGATCGTCTGCGCCAACGCCTGTCTGCCTTAACGAAGGGCGTGGCCGTGCTTCACATTGGCGGAGGAAGCGAAGTGGAGGTGGGTGAGAAAAAGGACCGTGTGGTAGACGCCTTGAATGCCACTCGAGCGGCCATCGAGGAGGGAATTGTTCCTGGTGGCGGCACTGCCTTCCTGCGCTGCATTCCCCATCTCCAGGAACTCAAAGTGGAGAGTACAGACCTCCAGAAGGGCGTTGATATCGTCTGCAATGCCTTGAGGATGCCCTGCCAGACCATTGCCCAGAACGCTGGAGTGGATGGCGCCATGGTGGTGGCTAAGGTATTGGCTGGCTCAGGAGACTACGGCTACGATGCCATGGGCGATGAATACTGTCCTCTTGTGAGGAAGGGCATCATTGATCCCACTAAGGTGTTGCGGACCGCTATCACGGACGCAGCTGGTGTGGCGTCCCTTCTTAGCACCACTGAGGTGGTGATCACTGACTCGAGGAATGATGATCTCTTGGCCAAGTTGGCAGGAGCGGGTGGCGGAATGGATGACGGTCTTGACATGAACATGGGTGGACTGGAGGAGCTGGCAGCCCTTAGTGGAATGGGTGGAATGGGTGGCATGGGAGGAATGGGAGGAATGGGGGGATTCGGTGGCATGGGAGGAATGGGTGGTGGTTTCGGCGGAATGGCAGGTGGTGGTGGAAAAAGCGCTTCCAGCAGCGGGGGACCCACTGCCGAGGAGATGAACGAGATGGTCAAAGCTATTCCTGGAATGGAGCAGGTCGAGGTGCATGACATTGACAGTGCAGCTATGTAGAAACCTCAACGATTTCCAATTCTACTTGACTTTGTTGTTTGGAGGATGCTAAATTTTAAGTGCTGTTTATTTTATTTTTTGGAAATATAAATTTCAGTTGGGAATTCTATTTGTCTTAAAATTTAAAAACCTTTCTCCTTTAGGAAAACAGTGAGAAAGTGAGACTGATTTGTGGACATTTTCCCTTTGCCATTTCCCTGGCCCGCACTTTTCCGTTCGAATTCTCGTCCAATCGGTTCATTATGCTGGTCTACAAAAGACTCCGCTTCCTTCACACTTTCGGTTTTTAATTGCAAAAGCCGAAAATTTGGAACGGCGAGCGGCAGAGCGAATCCAGCTGCAATGCGATGATCATTTGCATAAAACAAACAGCAATTTCTCACACATGTGCGGCCGTACTCCGCTCTCAGCCTGCTCCCCTTCGTATTTGGGTTTTCTGTGTTAGCGGATTGCATTTGTGGCCCGCAGCTAAAAAAGCGATTCGTTACATGAGAGTGAATGTGCAAAAAGGGGGGCCTGGAGCTCGGAGCCTCCACAAAAGCGTCACATCAAACATGCATCAATAAATAAATAATTCCAATTTGCAAATTTTTCATCGAGGCCCGCAAACGAACCGAAAATGGTGGACCCATCGAGCGTGGGCCAGGGAAAAGCCACAGCCTCTCGGACCTCGCGATTCGATCCTAGTCAGGTGGCTTGGTGGTTTCGCGTCGAAAAGGAAATTGTTCATCTGGCAAACATATTGGGCACCATCGCCGAGGCTCAGCAACAACTCCATTCCGCAAGTCGGAAAACCGAGCTCCAAAAACCAAAACCAAAAACAGACGAAAGGCAAATAAAAGGCTATCGCTATCGCTCTTGGCCAATCTGCATGTGCAGGCAAGTTGGCTTTTTGTCTTGCCTTTTCCCTCTTTTTTTTTGCCTGCGTGTGAGTCTGCGGACAATGACAACAATGAGCAAATCATGGGCACTTTGCATGGACCCCTCTTGTCGTCAACTTCTTCTACACGTCGACAAAACCAAAATATTTTGTATGGTACTCAGAAATAATTATTATCGGCTTTTCAATCTAATTTACACTTGCAAAGTTCGCAGCTGACAAGCAATCAAACTAGTTTTTTAGATTATCTCATTAATCGCGTTCAAGCCCCGCATTCAGAGTGCTGCCTCGTTAAGAACACCCCATTAACTCCTTGGGTGTTTAATATCATATTAAGAGATTAAAAACGGTATTAAAATAAATAAATTGCGATATTATATTGCACTGTGGCAAGACTTGCTATGACAATATAATCTCCAAACTTCTCTTTTTTCTAAACTCATCTTTACAGCTTAGATCACATTTTCTGACAGTGTAGAGCGCCGAAAGGCCAACGAGTGATTGGAGCACAGCAAATGGCATTTTTAGCTTTTGACATTTCACGCGTACTGCTCCTCAAAGTCCGCCGTCATACACGGCGTATGTGTGATGTGGCACTACTTTTCGCTCTCTCCCGTTTTGGTCTTTCCCGATCGCGACCCCAAAAACGGGCGGCGGCGCTTTAATGTGACTGCAGATCGGACTCTGGGCTAATGCCATAGATTTGAGTGACCGACTAATTCACGACAATTTGCACTGATCGCCGATTACAGATCCAGCATTTGGTATCCAACCATCCCGGCATCCCAGCATCCCAGCATCCACTTCCTTCTGGCCGATCGGCCTACGCTCACTTCTCACTGCTCTTTAACACAAATGCATTTTTAATTACATTGGCAAACATTTTCGCGTTCCCTGGGTGGTGTAGAACAATGCTACTGCACTGAGAAAATATATTGATGATCTAAGTGAAAGTCTTCAAGCGCCATCTATCATCAGCGCAGCTTACTAAGCTGAAAGATTTGACAGACTTTGGCTTTTTCTCAGTGTCCGGATGGGAAGGGGTTGGCGTTGAGAATGGGATGGGTTGGCCTGAGGACGGACCGGGGATGGACTGGAACTGGTGATGAGGCAGTGCATCATCCACTTGGCCATTTGCCTGATTGCGGTATTTTGCCTCGGTCAGCTGGGTGGAAAAACATCTTGCCAGAAATAGCAGTCAGCAAATAGCATATGGTAAATGGCGAATGTCCGCATCGAATGCGGCGACTAAAGCTGGTATATGTTCGCAGTATCGATTTCAGGCTACCGCTCCCAGTACCGCTCCTCTGGATCCCAATTCCTATTCGTCTTCAGCCAAATGCATCTCCATCTTCATCTGCTGGCCGCTTCTTCGGCTGGCGCGTAAATTTTCATGTCGCTTTGCGATTTGCAAGCATTTAACAAAGTCAAAACAATTTTAATGCACAGACCGGGCAGTTAATTAAAATAGCAACGATCTGTTGGCCAGGTTGTAAAGTTGGCCATGGGCCCCGTCTGATACCCTGCAGGGTGCCAAGGTGGATGGGAGGATGGAGGGATACTGCAGGGGAGTTTCTACTCCCGGGAGGTGATACTCCCTCTCGGCATTCCCTGCAGATCTTTCGACTTTATTTGAGATCATTAGTTGATGGCTTTGAACGATGTTGTATCAATCTAAGGGTGCCTTGCTAGTAGGGAATATGCAAAGTCTATCATTTATAGCTGTGGCTAAGGATTCGGGTATACACTGGAAGCTTTTGGACCTTTGATCAGGTAGCGAAGCCAGGTTCCTCTTGAAGTTTCATAGGTCTAAACGTGTACTGATCATTTTAAGCACCAATAATTTCTCGCTGTGCACTTCGGCTAGACTGCCAACACTTGTCAGGTTGTATTCAGGGACTGGGACTGAGTCTCGGCGAGAGAAACTGCGACTGCTGCTGCGGCTGAGACCTCGAAAGCTCCGCTTCCCATGTTGTTGCCTTTGACAAAATCAAATTAATTTTAATGCCTGTTGGCCGCTTTGCTGCACATTAATTACCAACAACGAGCGAGGAGCCCACCCCTCCCCTCCCTTGGGCCCAGCTCTCAGTTGGCTCTGCATTTTGGCATTTCGACTGCCGACTGGTTTATAATTCAATAAAATTTGATTAGGCATTAATTTGCAATGTCGGCTAATTAATGAGCGCAATATTCAATGCAATCTACTCCCGGTGCTTCTGCTTCTTCCTCCGCCTCCGGGGGTTAAGGCATATTAACCCCTCCTCGGCCCCTTTGGCCGTTTCATAACCATATTTGGTTTGGTGTAAGCGCGTCTAATGCCAACTTTTAAGTATGAAAGCACAGTATTAAATGGCTTTCGCCGCTTCCTTCTGTTGTGCGAAAGGGGGCGTAGTGGGTACGGGGTGGGCGTGGCAGATGAGGAGGCGACCTACTGCAGATTCGATACCCTGTCCACTTCTCTCGCCGTCTCGCTCAGTTGTGTTCTGTGGCATAATAGGCCAATTATTACTGCAATTTGCATTAGACCAACACACCGAAACAGGGGGTATATAGATATACGCCGAGATATGTAATCCATGAGAAGAGGAAGCTGGAAGAAAGCCAGAAAGCCAGAAAGCCCGCTTTGGAAATTCTTTTGAGGAGCGCGTTGTTATTATGAAACCGTTTAGAGAACGTGTTTGTGAACAGCACAGTAATTTGGTTAGATTACCAGGCTGGCGACGACGACGACGACGACGATGATGATGCGAATGATGCGGATGATGGGGATGATGCAACACATGAAGCTGCAGCGGGGAAACTGCATTTTCCACTGGCCAAGGGAAACCAACAGGGGCAGCATGATCTGCACCAGCAACTGCAACGCGACGAATGTGGGCCAATCTATCACCGCTCAAAGTCACACCAACAAAATATTGTCTGCAGTAGAGCGGAGCATGCACTGGTAGAAAATACTGAAATCCCTTAACTTATATATACTCAAAAATTTACTGTCTGAGTGTTATCTTATCTTATCCTAATAGTGAAGTTATCAGTAAAATAGTTATAATCTTTGCCATAAGATTGAAACTATCCTAGCCTTGCAGGATTAATCAATTTGTCAAGTTAAAATAAAAGTTAGCTTTTGCATAGAACTCGTTATTTTCTTTCAGTGCACAACTTGAGATAGAGTGGCACTGGCACTGGGACTGGCACAATCCCGTTTCGCGCTGACCGGCAGCGTGTGAATAGAAACGTTAGTGGAGGCACGTTCTGGACGCTGGCTGATAAAAGTTGATTGCAAATTTATAGACGAGCAGATTGGCCATAAACTCATGTCCGAGCAGCGGCAGCGAGTCGTGCCAGTGCCTTGGATCTCCGCCAGATTCCGACTCCGAATCTGCATCTGTACTTGGGCTGCAGCTGTAGCTGCCGACCGCATCGATCAGAGTCAATCTCAATCCCAGTCAATCGTCATGGCGATAAGCGCGCTGTCGTTGTCAACACGAGAACAACTTCCGCCAGTGCTCAATCATTCCTGGAGAATCGAGCAGTGGAGCACTGGGAATCGAGAATCAAGAATCGAGCAAAGCAAATCACAAATCGCCAGCCAAGAAAGTGAAACCGCCCCGGCGGAGATTTGCTTTGACTCGCCTCTTAATTGAATTAATTAGCTTGCGCTTATGCAAATGCCTCGGCTAAGACCCGAACTACGGCTTTATAATGCATTCTGCATAGATATATTCTGCATGCCATATGTGTCAAGTGTCAATATATCGTGAGCCAAGTTCTGTTAGCCGTGTTCTGCTGGCACACATGTGCCTTGGCCATTATTCTTCAAAATGCGCCGCAGGCCGAGCTCGGAACTTGAGTCAAGCAGCCGCCGTTTGTTTCTTCACACAATTCCACAATGAGATACCCCCGACGAATACCCATGCCCTATATAGGGTCCAATGGGTCGATCACGAACTTTGTCACACGCAAAGGGGGTTCTCGATTGCCGGAGGAGTCACGAAGAAGGGGAACCGGCCCCTTTTATGGTAAATGCCAGTGGTCGAGCTATGAACATTGTTCTCTGCTCACTGGTGTTGGGATCAACGGAGTGCCAATGATTCCGTCTGAATCAAGGTCATCTTGACATTTAAGGAGGTGCAGATAATCCCCTAGCTCACTGATAAAGCTTATGCTGATAAGATTGACGTGGAATTGTAATACCCAAAATATTTCCCAAATTCATATTTCAGAGTATCCAGTCTTCGATAGTTTCCTTCGGCTTTCCCTTTGCTTATTTGCACTCGTATTTCATTTTAGCGGGCAGTGACGGAGGGAAAATGGATGAGGAAGTGGGAGGGGCGGGGTCGGGGTCGGTGGAAGGGGGCCAACGTAACGCCAACACACTCCAAAGCCGCTGCCAAGTAGACCTTCAGACGCCAAACACTCCAACGCCAGCTTCAGTCGCAAAAGTCGGAGCAACGTCGCAGCCAACGCAGTCACAAGAGCATTCATTCGGCATTCAGCATTATTCAGCCAGTCAGTGGGACAGTTGGACAGGTGGCAAGGGGGGCTAAAGGGGCCCAAGAGCCCCCGAACGAGATGCCAGGGGGGCAGACAGTTGGACTGGCAAGAGAGCTCGACGCTCGACGCTCGACAGCTCGAGTTTGCAATTGCGCACTTCTGAAAGCGGCCGAGGCGAAAATTTTGATCCGTTTGCATGGCACACACAAAAAAACAGAGGAAGATCAAGTCGTTATTGAAAAGTGAAATTTATATTTACCAATTGTTGGTATAAAGAAATTATTTTTAAATAGTAAAAGAAAGATATGAATATCTAGCTAATGCCAGCTGTTAGTCCCAGACTTTTCTTCCTGTGTACGCTCGCCGCACCACACACGGAGGTCGATTATTCGAGTCTCACAACTTGCATCTTGCATCTCCATAAATATAAATATTGCCACCTTTGCCCACAGCTCGCAGCTCATTTGCTTATTGTTTGTCCGCCGCCGATTTCATTCACCTGTGCAGCGAGCAGTTGGGCTCTTGAGTCTGCGAGAAGTCTGCGCTGCGGATTGACACCTGACATGGCGGCGGAATCGAAAAGCAAAGCGGATCTTAAGGTTGCAGATTTACATCCGATAATAATGGAAGATAATGAAAGCGACACACAAAACAAGGGTAAACGTTATGGCTGTATCTTTAGATTGATTTCTACTGACCCCTCTCTCTGAGTAGATATCATGACATAACGAATACGTTAGGACCCCAAATGACCAAAGATATGATAGATATAGTTCATATTTTGTTATGGTGACACATAGAAACCGAAGTGTGAAAACATAGCCGAATCGATTATATAGATTATTCCTGCAGATCTGAGTACCGTGCACCTTATCTCCAGGGCCTCGGTACATTGTAATTTATTCACTCATTCATATGCACATGCACCTATGAACGTATCTATATAATTATATAAGCCCGATTTGGCTCGCTGGTGCAAAACCACTGGCCAAGTGGTGCAGGCGTTGAGTTATTGAGCCCAGTGATGATTCATTCTACTCATTGGCCCGAGCGGTGCTACTCACCCATCGATCGGGAGATTTATGGCCATGTTGATAGGCAAATTTCCGTTTGAGCTCGAAACACAGAAATGGAGTCGCAGTAAAACGCGATACAGATGAAGATATATTGTGTGAATGCGAAGATACTTAATCTAGTGACAGACAATTAGTGGATGAATAAATAGACAAGCCACTTATTATAAAAACACACTCCGAACACGAAGTGAAGAAATCAATTCAAAAAGGTGATCTCTGAAAATAATCCCCATAACCTCATAAAGAGCCAAAAGTTTAAAAGAAGATGGTATAAATTATGGCGCGATGCCAAAACATAAGCTCACCTTGATAATGCACATTGTGCATGGTACCTAAAACTAAAAGTAGCTGTTACCTCATTGAATTAGGTGTTAGGAAACGAATAACCAACATAATCCCATAGTTAAGTAGGTGGTATAATAACTTTTATTGTATTCAGCGAATGCGTCGCGTACAAATCGAATGTCGGATATTAGTAAGTAAGTATTGCATATACGCAGATACATATTTGTTATCGCTACTAAGTCTGCTATCAGTCTACGAATGCATGTGTGATATTTGGTATCGGTGATTGGAAATGGGTAGTTAATAATTGATAGTCTCTACTGGTTAGTTGTCAGACTGGGGCGTGTAACCAAAGGTGAGTTAACAGTTTAACTAAAACTAAAACTAAAACTAAACCTAGGCCAACTTCTTGCACAACCTGCGTTTCTGCGCTTCCATCAATAACCTATAGATTGACCTCCCGTAAAACACCCGAACGACACATATTTAACGTAGAAATAAGCAACATTGTAAAACAAATCAGTGAGACCCCATCACAATCGAGCTTACAAAATAATACCCATAGATTATGCCCATAGTTCCCGGGCCAGATCACAAGAATCCCTCGCTTAGCGTCTCATCGTCGTCTTTGGGGCTTAAGATAGAATGTGTGTGCTCCTATGTGGCCTATAATATCCTTATGCGGTTCCTACTAGGTGAGTATTCGATATATACGTATGCGGAGTCCTTTAAGTGTTCAGGCTAATTAATTGCTATCGACGCTGGTCCAAAAGAGGAGTAAATTCAATACGGGTGGGTTCGTCAGACAGTCTCTCGGTATACTCATATGTCCAATTGGTTGTTCTTTAAAGATTCTATATCAAAAACTTTTCCAAGGGGAACACTGTGGTCTATTGGTGGTGAATATCAAAGGTGTTATTCTTTTTGTGGTGGTGATGGTTCTGGGACTACTACTGAGCTGATGCTGACGAACTAAAATCGGATCTGGGTCTAGTATCCCGTCTAGACCCTGCGGTTGCAGTGCTCCTGCTGCAGGTTCACGTTGTTCATCACCGCACCCATGTCCACCACCACCGAGTCCGTCATAGTCATGACGCACTTGCTGCTCGTCTCCAGCTCTGTCTGTCCCTCGAGCAGTCCACTCTCGTGGTGTCCATGTCCGTTGGGGGTGCCAACGGGCATGTCCTGGCAGATTAGCATATATGAGAGTGTCAGAAATATAAATAACCCATTCATACCTGATAGTTCACGGAAGCGGCGTCTAAAGCCATCAACTCTTTGCGCGACAGTTCCTCGACAATGGCGGCGGTGTAGCAGTCGCCCAGCATGTTATTCGTAGTGCGAATGCGATCCCTGCAAGAACAGAGTCCTTTGTTAAGCGACTTCTTCGGGGGAGTAATTAGTCCAAATCAGATCCATACTCACACAAACCAATCCACGGCGAAGAGGAGCGTCACATCCTGGACAGGAGCGTCAATGGCGGTCAACACCACGAGAAGTAGTACCAGAGCAGCACTCGGAACGCTGGCCGAGCTCATCGAGGCAGCCGTGGAGGTCAGGAGCACCGTGAGTATTTCCCCGAAGCCCAAAACCATACCGCTCATCTGGGCAATGAAGATCGAGGCCACTGCGATGTAGAGAGCTGTTCCGTCCATGTTGATGTTGCATCCAATGGGCAGGACGAATCGCGTGATCCGCGGATCCACTTTGAGTTTCTCGTTCATGCAGCGGAATGTGATGGGCAGGGCGGCGGCGCTAAGGGGCGTGGCGGTCGCAGATTGGTTGAGGAGTGTGGTGTCAATTTGTGGGAGTGTGTATTAGTGGGTAAGTCGGATACAACATCAGGTCGTGGCAAATACCGGAAGAAAGAAAAAATACACATTTAACGCACTCCTACTGAATCTGGATCTGAGTCCCTTGCGACTAGTTAAGGAATTTCAATTGGATGTTAAAAAACTTTAAATTTAGAAAAAAGAAAATATTTTAAGAAGTTATAAATAATTTATAAAAACTCTCCCCTCATTTACAAAAGGTGTCTAATGAGCAGTTTTCTGATTTTTGCGGAATGGAAAGTATATTACGAAGATTTTTTATAGGCTTAGGTATCTTCCCATAGCTTCGGTTCATGACTGTCAAATTAAATTCGGACTCCAAATTCATGTTACCAAAAGGTATCTCTTTGTGACAGACTTGAGATATAATTTTCCAAGAAAAACCACATTTAACATGTGTCATTCAATCTGAACTCGAACTTCATTCGAAAAATTCACTTGACTGAAAGCCTTGCAATTTTACTTGGGCAAAGGCCATCATTAGATTCTAGACCTAAGGACTCGTGGGTCCGATTGAACACAGAACTCACGTTGAGGCCGTGGCGAAGGCGGTTAGCATGGCCTGGATGAGTCCGGCGTAGAACTTGAACGGATTGCGACGCACGACGACAAAGTAGATGGCCTGCATCACCACGAGCTGGTAGATAAGCACGCCGATGGCCACCGTGACGATGAACCACATAAGTTGGGACATGACCAGGCCCAAGTCGCCGACGCTCAGTATCTTTCCGGCGATCACGGAACTTATGCCCACGGGGGTCAGCCACATCACGCAGGTCACCATCTTCATGATCACCTCGAAAATGGCGGCGAAGAAGTCAACCACGACCTGCCCTTTCTGGCCGATGGTTCCCAGAAAAGTGCCAAATACCAGGCAGAAGAATACGATGCCCAGGGTGTTGGTTCCACTGCGGTACTGGATATCCCTCACCAGCACCACTTCCTCTGCAAGATCCTCCGACAGACGTTGGGCCTCCACGCCGGATACCAAGGTGTCGTTCATCGTCTCGTTGAAGGCGTGCAGGATAGTCGGCTTGGGCAAGTACACGGTGTGCGCCTGCTGAATGGAGGCCTGAAACAGGTTGTCCGGGAATACGTTTCTGAAAGTTAAATAAAAGTCATTTTTTTTAAAATCAGCTAAACAACAGGAAATTGCTTAAAGCAGTTGTTGGTCATGTGAACTGCTTAATCATGCTTAAGAAATGAACTGCTTGCCGACTCAAGACACTAGTTGCCGCTTTGAGTTCACATGTAGAGGGCGCCACATGGTAAGCTAACAGGTTGTATGGCCCTGTTCTTTTTGGGTTTAATGAGCTATTAACTCACCTGCCCAAATCCAAGAGGCTATCCAGTAAATTCACCGCCCGCCTATCAGTCGACCGGTCGTCCGCATTGTGCAGATCAGGATTTCCAGGATGGATGAGCAGAACGAGAGCAATTCCCAATGCGGCGTTGAAGAACGAGGTGCTGGCGAAGTAAACCAACGTTCGGAGGGCTATCTTGCCATTCATCTTGGCATTAAGACTGGCCGATCCGGCAATCAGGCTGGATATAACCAGCGGCAAAATCATCAGTTTCAGCACTCGCATGAAACAGTTCGCCAGGATACGAGATCAGCATGATGGAGTCCCCGTGTAGGTTAAGCGGCCGCAACGAGAGTCCTGGAATATATATGACGAATCATTAGACTCTCTTGATTGCATTACTCATAGTACTTACCCAGGACTACCCCCAGGAGGACTCCGGAGAGGGTGACCAGCAACATGAGGTTGTCGGATAGCCACCTGCGGTAGCCGGTCAGCTCGACAGGGGCATCGCTGCGCTCCGTGGTCTTCGGTGGCAGCTCGGTGGAGGTGGGGGGACCCATTTTGGCGAAGAGGTAATCTGAAAATTTCCCAGACTTTTCCATTTCCATTTGTCCGAGTGTCCAAGAGTCCAAGTGTCCTGGCGGCGCACAACTAGGCGCAGCGGAGCGGGGGCGACAGAACCAAAACCGAAACCGAAACCGAAAACTAAGAGAGGAGCAAGCGAGACGACAGGGCAGCGAGAGAAAGAGAGAGAGCTAGCTAGCCAGACGTGAGGGATTCCCCTTGAGTTTCAGTCGCCGCTCGTGTGGAATGCGGCTGCTCCTTTTGGAATTGAAGGTAGGTTGGTTGGTGTCCAGTTATTGATTTTTTAAGTACTTCACATTGAACTTGAGGATGTTGATTAGGTAGGCCATTCTACCGGTGCGGCGTTGTCTTCCTTTTGTTCGGCGGCGTTTGCTTTCCGCCTCGAACCGTTGTTCCTTCCTCTCTTCGGCGGCGGTTGTGGGTTAACGGCTCCGTTGTTGTGGCTTTTGGCAACTGTCCGCTCCGGAATGGCAATCAAGAACGGATGAGGCTGTCCGGGCGCTGCTGACCTTCGCGAGGGGGTGGTAGGCGAAGGTGGCTCTCTTTAAGGCGCTGAACGCTGAAATGCACTCGCGAGTTGTTGTGCACACACACGGATAATCGATTTTTCAGAGTCCGGGTCAGGGGTCAGCTGCAGTCTGGTAAAAGACGCAGGGAAACTGTGTCAGGCCCTGCTCCGACTTGAATCCGGTTTGGAAAAGCAGCTGGTTTTTATAATTAAAGCTTTTTAGCTCGCTTTTCAGACTGCCTTAAAGATGACTTCTTCCGCTTTCGTTTTCACTATGTTCTGGCCCGTCTCAATCTCTTTTCTCCTGCTCCTGACTTTCAGCTCCTCGGAATGCCAACCGCTCACTTCAAGCTTGCTCCTGCGAATGTGCCACTCTCTCGCTGGGTCAGCTTTTATACGCACTTTGAGTCAGCCACTCAGGAGTCGAGTGTCCTGTGCCATAAACACGAAATCCCAATCTCTCTCTCTCTTTTCTTGCGGCGCATTTATGGCAAATGCCGGCAGGGAAATGAAAACGAAATGGAAATTGAAATGAAGACGCGGCGCAGACATCACGCACCGACGAAAGGCTGATTGACGCTACATAATTATCATAAAGCGGAAAATTCCGCTCGACGAGCACGCAGAATTTGATTAGCAGCCACGCAGAGAAACTATCTCAAATATTTAGTAAAACCAATTAAAGATGGTTTGCAGTTAACTTTAAAAGTGCAAGTTTAATGAACAGTTGCAGCTTGGAAATTTACGCAGAGAATACTTAACCGATATCGAAGGATTTTCTCTCGGTGCAGAGCAACCTACCGAACCCTTTCGGATAATTTGATTTAATAGCTTGGCTAATCGATTTAAGTGACTTGGCAATTGCCGTAGGTTGTCCTTGGGGATTAGGGAGAGAAAGCCGGGAAAGGTTCCTCGCTAAAAGTCGCTTATCGATCCGCCAGAGAGTGCGCCTTGTTAGCTGTCATTCATAAATCATGTGAGAAGCCCCCTGCCTTTGCCCCAAGAACCTATTGCCATCTCTTGGGCAGTGGGCCAAATCAATAGGGCAGCGCTATATTTAACTTCTCGACCTGGCCACAACAAACAAATCGTTCCGCGTCCGCCGGGATCCGGCTGAATTCGGTTGTCATATGGCTATTCGCATTTGCATTCCCAGTCGCAACACATCCTCGCCATATTCCCCGATCTCTGGCAGATAATTAAGATAATTGCAGCGACGAGTTTCGCCTGTCGCTTTGATTTCTGCCTGCTGCCAGACACAAAATTTATTGGCACTTCCCCTTCGCAAACTTTCGGATACGTAACACATGTAGATCTCAGATATGCTTATAGATTGCCGAGATGGGTGAACTTGAACCTGACATTTGCCAGAGGTTTCTTCGAAGGCTAGGCAGGAAGAGAGATATCTAAAAAGAAATGGGTGTGAGAGGAATCAATGGTTTCCATCTGCGATGGGAGCACTGGGCGCTTGCGGTTCTAATCGTTTCAGAATGTCACTTGGTGTGAGAGGAATCAATGGTTTCCATCTGGGATGGTAGCTCTGGGCGCTTGCGGTTCTAATCGATTCAACCTGTCACTTGGCCCATTCATTTCGGTTTCGCTTTACTGACACAAATTACAGACAGGCACGAAAGCGGAAAACTTTCAGATCGATCGAAGGTCACCCTGCATCCCCAAATCTCACACTCTTCTGGACCGCGAAAAAAGATACCTTATTTATATAATTTAACTTTTGGGCATTTTCTGAATTATTTTATTTCTGACAATTTCATTTTAAGCCTTAAAAATACTTTTCTTTTGCATTTCTTGGAATATCTGACGAATAGCTTCTGCTGAACAGCCATCATTTCTCTGCGTGTACTCCCTCAACTGCTAATGCTTATTTAATAACTATATTTGGGCTTGTACTTGTCGCCCCCGCTCTGAAAATTTGCAGTTTGGTTTTTGGATGAGCTCACCTCGAACGATTAACCAAAGATTACCCAGGATGTAGCTGGTTGATGGCACTCCCCGAGATAATTATTGTTTTTCGATATGTTTCACTTTTCACTCACTCGTTCGCTCTTTGGCTTTCCACTGTATCGCTTGCTTTTTGTTTACAACACTGCGTATGCTTAACGTTTTGCCAATGCAGTCAGTTGGAATAATTTCCGCAGCAGTTTCTGCTGCCGTTGCATCAACAGTTTCAGAATGCGTTGCACCGCTGTAGCCGTTGTAGAGGATTGTTTTCTACCTGCGGAGACCAGAAAATGTTTCGTTTCGCGGCAGTTTTTTGTTATTAGTGGACTGGGCTTGTTTTTCTCTGATTTGTTCTGTTTTTTGAGGGGTTTGGCTTGGATTCAAGGTTTGTTTACGAAGGAAGACTGGGTTGGGGGTGAGATTGATGGTTTCCTTACAAAGTCTTAGTTCTACTAACTAACTATGTTCAGTTCAGTTTGATTGTTATTCATAAATATATTTCCTTTTCTGTAATTTATATACTTTTGGTAGAGCTTATATCCTGATACGTATTGCGTAAATTAAATTATGGCCATTATTCAGGGCTTAGGTCTCTGTTGCAGGTGGTAAACAAGAAGGGCTTAAGTTGTTCCCCAAGCGACCTTCATTCCGGTTATATCAACAGTTATAATGGGGGAGAGCGGCACGGAAATAGATTTGTCGCGCCGTTTAGGTAAAATGTAAAATGTCTGCTCAAGGCATTGCATTTATTGGTTTCATTCTATGACGATTATACAATAGCTAGTATCTAATTATACACCAATTAATAATGGGATTCTAGAATTAATTTGTACCAATTAAGAAATCAACAATTTGTACAATGTCTTTGGTTGGATGACCTGGTCTGAGGGAAGAGACTTTCCCATCAAAGAATTTTTGTAAAATATTTTAAATATATTAAAAATTCCTAATGTTTCTAGTTTTATTAGCTCTGGCCTTGAACCCAATCCGTTTTGGAGCCCAAAGATGAGTTGGAAGGGTTTTGAGGGGATCAAGGATCTCGGATACCTCAACACGAAACTCTCGATCGACCCGACACTGAACCGGGAACTGCAACCGGGATGCCGCGAGGTCGCGGACTTAACTGCCTGGCGATCGACGGACGCTGAACGCTTTAAACGGAACGGAATCTCGGACGGTATCCGCACTGAACGCGATCTGAAGGGGCTCCTCCGATGTCCGCTGGGCTCGCCAATTGAACAGAAAGTGAGCAATATATTTAATTTAAGCAGTTGCGACAAGGAGAGCCCACCACCAGCCACATTTCTTTGGCTTTGTTTTTGCCATATTTCGTTTTCACTTTGCCGCAAGGGTTCTCTATGTTATTTCTCTAATTCTCTGCTCGGCTAATGCGACAGCGAAAGAGCGAGAAAGCCGCCCGTGACGCCAGCAAAACGCGTCAAAGAGACCCCATCTGTCTCTGTTCTGTCTATGCATATGCCCATATAGTATATCCACCCCTCCACCTCCACACCCCTACATGAAAACAAACGTTCCGACACCCGAAAACAAACGACAATTGTTTAATGCACTTTGACACACTTTAAATCTTTAGGAAAATTACCTTAAACAGACACGAATGCCAAAGCATGCAAGTGCCACTATTAAAAACGGGGGATACGAATGAGAAATACCTTGTACGTAGAGAGTTAATATATGTTTTCCCTCTTCCTATTCAGTTTTACTTCTGTTATTTATAATATTTTCTTCTTAATCTGTAAATTTCTTCCAGTCAAGACCACCCCCAACACCCTTTATAAGCACTTCAATGATCAAGTAAATGATTCTGTTGTTGCTCAACTTGCGTAGATCTGCGATATAGCCTTAAGTGGAAAATTGCAACCCGAAGGGTGCGAGAAAGCAGCAAGCTGGGAAAATTACGCATACGCCGAGTTGCCAGATGCCAAGGTACTGAGATGAGATGAAACGCTTTCGTATGTTTCGATTTGTCATTTTAATTAGAGCGCGGTGCAGGTGCACTGCTCTTGGGGAAGCCGAAGAGGGGAAGTGGGCTACTATGCCCGAGAAATGCTTTCAAAAACAAATTGGCCACCGCAATCTGGCTTCCTCGAATGATAGGCCCCCATTATAGGCCCAATTTACATAATGCACAGGTTGATATACTTAAGCGGAGACTGAAAACAAAACTGATATGAGGCCATTGCGTGCCGACTTGGATCGGTGATAGTTGAGTGGGAGTCCGCTAAAGGTTGCCTTACATAAGACGGTCATTGAGCTGCCAAAAGCCAATTAAGGTTCAAAAGGTGGAGGAGCTAAGGGACAGAGCAAAGGAGGCGGACAGGAGACGTCACAGCTTGTTCGGCAAATACACTCGCCAGTAAACTGGTAAACTACCTTATTGGCCCTACATTTCAGTAACGGTCTGCTCTTCAATACAGCACAAAGAATTTTAAGGTCTCCCAATAATATATATTTTTTTAAATAAGAGAGAGTTAATCGACAAGCTGTTGCTCATTTATGGCAATGTCCATATTATAGCAATGTCCAAATTATGGCAGTGCTATAAACTGGTTCGTGTCCCAGCTAGAGAAAAGCTGTCTGGCAAGGCAATCCATCCATTTACAGGGTGTCCCTAGCAACAGCTGTCCTTTGTTTACAACCGGCAAAGGGAGCTTAATTGCTCGTTGGTTGAAGCCAGTTGAAGGCTTTTGGGATTGATGCTGGTCGCTATAAAAGAACACTTTTCCTCGCCAGCACTCAACAGTCTGTATTTCTCACAGACCAAGCAGCTGCAGCGGGAGAAGGCTTAGTACAGTGGCCACTCGGTAATCGTTATACGAAACTTAACTCCTATTTTTCAGATTGATTTTTCTTTGGTTTATAGTTGTTGGCAAATAATTATATTTAAACATAGATTTTTACATTTTAGTAGATTTTAAGAGACATCACAAAGTACGAAATCTGAGCATCAAAAGTGCATTAAGAATTACATTTTCCGGTTTTAACTAGAATGAGTTTAACAACAAGCCCTGTACTGTAATTGAACGTGCTCAAAGGCCAAACCACTCAACTGTCAATCAGCAACCAAATCGAGTTAAAACCGTCGATCGCGGAAAAATCAAATGTAGTTCAATTTTGCCAAAAAAGTGCGTACGGATTTTTGTGCTGTTCGGCTTTTGGGGCAGCTAATTCAATTTGGCGGGAAAACCCGAAAACGTTAACTTTCAAACGGAACCTAATCCAATTAACAGGGCCGGAGCTACAGGAACCGGAGCACATGCAAATTATCCGATTCTGCTCCGTTCTTAATTAACATTTAAAATGCTTCAGGTTTTTTCGTTTCGTCCTTCCAGTTGAACCTTTTTGCGCGGAAACCACTCGGTAACCGCAGTTGTGGTGCGGTGGGTGGCTGGGTGGTTGGGTGAGTGGTTCGTCGGTGGGTGTGACCCTCACGACGACCCACCCACTCTGAAATCCATATACAGAAAGTTGCAAAATGTTTAATATTTGCAACACCTGAAAAATTGAATATTTTTCATTAAAAGTTCAAAGTTTTCCGACGGCAGCGGCTGTTGTGGAAAAGGGAGGAAGTGGGAGGATGTAAGAGGTCCTGTCTCAACCGCAGTCAATAAATAAACTTTGCAAAGTGCGTGAAAATGTTTTCGCAGATTGAACAGAACCCAAGTGATGAGTGCGTGAGCGACTAGTAAGTCGTTATTTAAAAAATGAACTTTTAATGTAAAAAATAAAGTTAAGTCCTGGTAGTAATTTTACCCTTTTAAGTACTCAGTTTTCTGGGTGTAAGAACTTCTGATCTTCTCTTTCACACCGTGCTTACAAAACCATCTCACCAAGTTGCCTTTTTCTAAGTCTTACTCTGGGTCTTAGCTTTAGCTGGTTTATCTACCACCTGACCTTCTTGCCTTGTTCCTCTAAGTCGTGATTATTGATTTGTGTCTAGTTCCTAACTTGGTACTTTTAGCTATTTGTCTACGCTTTCTCTGGAAGCTGCTGTCGCCACTGCCATCTCTCCGACCTTAGCTCTCCTTACTGCTTTCTTTTTACATTACCATCTGCACTCTAAGAAAAGTTGTAGGATAAAGACAATCTAAATGCCTTTCTGACCTGCGAATACCAAATAGATATTGGGCTGATTTTTCCGTGTGAGCCTCTTTTCCAACTGGCGACTAAATCAATTTGCAAGCTTCAGTCACAGTCGCAGCTTTTTCTTTTACTTTCTGGGAAAACCGCGACATGAAAATGGACGACAGCCGGTGGTGCTGGCGGTGGTTTTTCGTGGTGACGGCGGTGGTGGCACGTGTTGCGGGTTGCCGGCTAACAGCAGATGTGGGCCGATGTCTGTTTAAAACGCCATCATAATCAGCAGCATCATCATCATCATCATTATCATCAGCCCCAGCATCAGCAGCAGCTCGGAGACCTGTTCCCTTACCCCAACTGGTCATGTTGTGCTTTGTTAAAAGGATTTTCACGGATTTCCGTTGTAATTTGAAAAGTTTTTTGTGCAACTTTTTTCATTAGAATAAGGTAGGAGCATAGGCGGAACGATGGGTGGGGCATCGGCATGCCGGCTCCTGCAAAAGGTAAATGGCTCGGCCGTGTTAGTTTTTGAAGTGGCCTGCCACGAGCAGCCGGCGAACAGGTGTTAATTGTTTTCAAGCTAATTTGCTCCAACGATAATGAATTTTTCGCCAGGCCAGGCCAGGCCCGAAAAGAAGAAAATTATAATTAAATTGCTCTGAAAGCGACGCGGATTTCGAGAACTTTACTTAAGTCTCTTACACGACAAGAAATAAGTTAAGCTACGCAGTTAATATCCCGAATTTCAATTCAGATTCATATTTTTACTACTGCCAATGGCTTATGCAGATCTGTAAGTCCTGAAAAGGCTTCCATACAGTGTTGCTGCGGTGGTGGCAACAAAGTTAAACCCCAAATGCTGACGAAGGAAACAAAAATATTTATTAGGTATTTTTCCTCTGTACACAAAGCAACAACTTTCTCCATCTTACTTACCTTTTCAAATTGTCCTTATCTGGACTAGTGCGAAATAGAGGGGGATTTGGCTGGATCCACTTGCTGTGGGACCAACACTTTCGACTGTTGACTAAAAACTCCGAGGAACAATAAAGTTGCCAGTGTTCCGCTCTTCACCCTCCACACTCCGCCTTCCGCTGAGCTAACTGCCTCCCCTCGGCAATGCCTTTGTCAACCTTGAAAGGCGCGCAGGTGTGAAATGAGCGTGCGAAATGGAACCAGGCCTACTCCGAGGGGAGAGGCCGGGAGAAAATGATGCGAAATGAGAAAAGAACCTGATGAGGGGTAGTGCGTGTGTGGGAGATAATTGAATTTCTGATTTTAAGTGCTGTCGAGGCGGAGACATCAGCAGAGGGTAGCTAAACAAGTCACAAAAGTGCAAATTTGCGGCGCAAAGTATGCAGCACTAAATTACGCATACGCCATGTGCTACCGCAGCAGAAGTGGCAGCAGAAACCGGGCCCGGGACGTGCAAACTGTTTCACCAGGGCCTGCCTGAAAGTTGTCCAAATGCCAGAAACGGGCAAGAGCTGCCAATTTGCCAAGTGTCCGCAAACAAAGCGAGGCACACGAACCAAACGAGACAAACGAGCGAACAACAAATAGTTGCCAACACAACGGCCAGTCCATCCGACCAGTGACTACTCTTTGTCTTTACTAAAGTGCTTAACCATTCCTCTAACAGCTTTTGGGGCTCTATATGTGCTTGATTCTTGATCTGATTTGTAACACAAACTCAAACTGCTTTAAACTTAAATATTATTCCATTCCGTTCTCATTTGCAATCCCTCCTCTTCGAATGGCACTGCACGAACATTTGTTATTATAATACGGCGTGGGTGTCCCATCTTCAGGCCGAACTCGAAGCACCCGCCTGAGAGAACTTCCACCGACAACTTCAAGTGGCATTGTAAAAAGTTTGCCAGCCAGCTCATTTAAAATGCAAATGGAGGCCAGCGGTACACAGGCAATCGTTGCGTCCACCTTTCGGCCCCTCCCTCGGCGGCAAATTAGTTTGCAGGCAAAGAGAAACATAAACAGAACACGGCCAATATATCGCCCATTTGGGCTATAAATTATCAGGGATATCACTCCTGCAATGGGGCTGTCATGCTGGGAGTCATATTCGGGATTTATTCCTCCGCCTGCCCCAGCAGTCGTTGTGCCTATAATCCGCTTTGTGGCTCGGCTGAACTTTGGCCTTTCAGCCCTCGCCTTTTATGGGGCTGCAAACTAAGGGGAAGTCCCCGCACCAGCGCTAACTTCTTAAGTGCAGTGCAACTTTTTGACACTTGAAATTGAGTTTTGCGGTGTAATTGCATTTTATTTGCCAACTTCAACCGAGGGAACCAAACAAAAGTCGCAATCCAATCCCATTCCCAATCCGACTCGCAATCCCCACTGCACTGCCATTGTAGCTGAAAGTAATGGAATCCAGTGAATGCTGTATCTTTCTGTCACTTGGAGACCCACCAGGAAGGGCGGGTAGGTACCGAAAGAGGTGTCATCAAATTTGCATGGATGGCGCCGAGGAGGCTGGAACTCAAGTCAAGTGGCGATAATCGCCATCTTTGGCTCGCTGTTATATGCGCCACACCCCTTGCAAGCAGCCAGTCACCTTACATGGTCCTACACAGCCCCAAAAACTATGTCCAAAGAAAGAAAATTATTAATTTTAAAATGTTTTACTACACTAACCATTCAACTATACAACAATTTTAAACCAAACTACATTTAGAGAATATCAAGTTTAATTTAAAACCGAAATTGTTTCCAGTGTAGATGAGAATTGAATTGAATCATTTTCGCAAATGGATTGCCCGACCGGAAGGGAGGGGAGAAGAGCAATGAAGGGGGCTGTGAGTTTGTGCAAACTGCAGTTTGGCAGCTCATAAAATCAACTTTCACCATTCCACTCGCACGGAGCTTTAGCCATGCATTTGGTGGCGGGTGGTCGAGGGCCGGAAAATTAATTACAATTTTTTGAATGGAGACCATTGAGGGCGGGTGAAAGTGGGGTGGTGAGGAGCAGCAATCAAATCAAATTATTTTCATTGCAGCTCAATAAGGGAACGAAAAACGAAACCGAGCAGAGCAAAAGGCCAGCCAGAAAATGGAAAGGAAAATAATCCCCGGCATATTATGCAAGCCGAGTTGAGCTGGGAGAAACGGAAAACTGAAAAGCAGAAAACTTGCGACTGCCTCTTTCCCTGCTAGCGAAATGGAAATGCTTAACAAACGCCAAGGCGGGCATTTCAATTTCAGACTGACTGACTGTCAGACTCAATGCAGCCATAATTAAGAGTGTCCTCGCTGTCAGCCCGCCATTGTTCTACATTTTCCGATCCTCCAGAACAGGCAATGCGAATCGACAGCTGTCCTCGCTTCTCGAAATCTTCTGGCAGCGGGATAAATGAATTTTTCATTAAAACAGTTGCAAATTATTTAGTTTCATGTTGGGCATTAATTTACATAATTTAAAGTTAAACTTTTCCTGCTCAGTTTTCAATTGCCACAGCTTGTTGCTCGTCCGCCCCCAACTCCGACTAAGTTTTTCATGAATGAATTTTTGGCGCGCTTTTCCCAGCGCAGGCGCAGTCTGCAGCAGAGAAACGAGAGAAGCCGGTTGAAGGTTGATGATGGAAATTGAAGACCCAGCCTCCTTGGAGGATGTCCTTTCAATCTACGATTCGTCTGACAAAAGCAGCGGGTCTTCGACGGCGACCAACAGTTGCGGTCTGGAGCTCGTAGGTTGCACGTCGCAGTGGCAAAAGTCCCGGGTGTATAAGTCTAGATCCTCGAGGGGTCTAAGCCTCCGTCGTCGTGCGGGTTTCGTGGGCGAAAGTGCAGAGTAAATATAACAAATTAAATGATGGCTCAAATATGTATGAATGCCAATAAATTGTCATTTGTATGACAGTGTGAGAGAGTGTGTGTGAGAGTGTTCTACGTGTCGTATACGCAATATTTATGAATGCAATTTCCTTCGACTGAACAGACACAATGCTCGCAAGCCTGCTAATCGAGCATACTAGTTAAGTGAACCCAAAAAAGCGGATCTGCATTGTCTGTGGTAATCCCTGTGGAAATCCCCGAAGCCATTTCCCCACACCCGCCAGCCTGCAGCTGAGTATTGGCTGCATAACAAATCGCATCAGGCATTCTGACATCGCTTCTCGGATGGCATCTCTGAATCTCTGAATGGGCAAAGTGCTCAGCACACTCCACATAACTCCCATGGTCCCACCAGCTTTCCTTCTTTCATTTTTTGCCAGTCGCCAGCAGTTGCAGTTTTCAGTTTTCAGCTTGCAGTTTGCAGTTTACACACGACGAGCAGCGAAATATGGAATCTGAATAACAAATGCAGCCAGCATTTTGCATAATTTATGTCAAGCATGAAAATAACAACTAAAGCGGGCGATGGCCAAGGCGGGGGAGGACGGGGCTGGGGCCGTCACACACATGGCCATAAATAAGTGCAGGTTTAAATACCACGGCAACAATTGTGAAATATGGCAGAATAATAGAAAGGACCAGAGCAGAGCAGCGGCTAAATATTCATATACTCAAATGTGCGCTGCACTGGCAAAATATTCGGGAGAAGTTCGAAAATGTCACACGAAAATTCCGCTTTATGGCAGCTTTCCACTTAAGTACACCTTATTTTTTGGAAGTAAATCCCACAAATTGTTTGTCACATTGAAAGATGCTTGAATTATGTTCGAGTATTCCAATTTTCTTTCATTAATCAATTGCAGACTCCTTGAATTTTGTTCAAGTGCCATACCCATATTTTTAAATAATGTCAACGGACTAAATTAAAGTCAGTTTGAAAAATGAATGCACTAAATTTAAGTCACTCTAGTCGATATGCAGTTTATTCTGCACTGCTGCGTGGCTCTCTTGATAATTTGGTTTCCGAACTGAGCTGTCAATATTGATAAAACGATAAGCTAGCTTAAATTAAATAACTTTCTAAAGAATTTAAAGTTGATACTAAATCGAATTAAAGCCATTGCCTTTATTGTCCTTTAGCACGTGGCAGCTTGTCCATTTTAGTAATTAAATTTCCTGGCTAAGCTGCCAAAATTTCCCAATAAAGCAGGCAACTAGTTTAATCGATATCAAAGTTTTATAGCCCCGAACGACTACTCCGCAACTTCTGGAGAAATTTCCATATTTTCCTACTACTTTACTCTTTCAGTGAGTAGCACAAACTTAGTTAGTTTGTCATCCTCTTTTTCGGCAGTACACGTACAAATATGAGTTGTTAGTTACACGAGTAGCCCAGTGGGTGGCAAAGGGGTTAGGCAAAGGAGGGCAAGAGTAGAGGGCAAACGTCAACAGTAGGCGGTGCACCCAGGGGTTAACAAGAGCCAGAGAGGGGTTAAGTGGGGGTGGAACCCCCTTCGGGGCACGCCACTGTTCGGAGGACAAAACAAAGCGGCTCCCCAACGAAATGGGCCAAAAAGTTATTTTAGGCGAACAGCGAAAAGCGTGCTACAAGAAAAGAAAGAAAGCAGAAAGCGCGAAAGAAAGCGTCCATAAAGTGGGCTTAGGTGTGGGTGAGTGGCAGAGTGGTGGCTGGAAGGGCGGGAGAGCGGGGTGGGGACTGCAAGTTGGTAATCTCGAAACAATTATGCATACGCGCGCATACAGAGAGAAACGTTCACTGGAATCTGTGGCGCGTGAGACTCGACAAAAAGTAACCCAAAAGCCCGCAATGAAAGCGCAAAATGTTTGGGCCATTAGCATAAAAAATAATGGCCGAGTGCCAGCCACACAACAACCACTGGAGAATAGGGAGTGGAGAGGGGGAAAGAGGGTGTCCATTTCATCGAAGACTTCGTCTTAATCCTTTTCAACTGGCAAATTGGCGTGAAAATGCCTTTTGGGGCTCCCCAAGCATTTTGATTTGGTTTTTCCGTGACCATTCACTTTCACATGGAGAAAAATCGATGTTCTTACATAGGTGACCCATTTTTATAAATTTTCTGTACCTTAGCTTCTGAGTTTTCTCTTTTATTGCTGTTTAAAAGCATTATTAAATGATTCAAAAATGAAAATAAATGAAATTAAACTGAATGTGAATTAAACGTGATTTTAAAGAAAGAAAAACTAATTCAACGATCTACGACTCTTCCTCCTATTTTAAAAAAGGTCCTCAAACTGTGAACATAACATAAACGAAAGGAAATACTCTTCCCATGAGTAGTGACTTTGATTATCTGACAGCCCGGAGTACGGACAACAAATTGTAGTGAAATTTTTTTCCGTGTCACCAATCCTGTCAATCGGACCCATCGAGAATATCCTCAACATTGCATACTTTTATGGGCGAATGCCTGGCAGAGTGAGTGTGTGAAAGGCAGCAGAGAAAAAAGATACAAAATGCGAGCAAAAGTGAGGCCAATAAAAAGGCGATAAAGTTGACGCCGATACAGGAGGAAGCGGCAGGAGCAGGAACACCAGCAGGAGGAAGAGCCGCTTGTCGGAAGAGGAGCGATAAGCGTATCCTGTCGGCAGAGTGCATAAAAAGGCGATATATATTCCGGTGTCCTGTGCCTGTGCCAGTGTCAGTGCTGTGTGCCTCGTGTTTGTTTGTTGCTGCAGCCTCTGATAGCCGGTGATTCAAATGCCTTGGTGATTAATGGGCCATTGGCCATTGCCGACGGGATGCGCATAATTCAACCGGGCCAAAGGACCAGATACGGCCAATGGCCGGCCGTGGGACTACGGTTACTCCTGGCCCTTGCCTGGACAACGGCAGCAGCGGCGGCCATGGAGTCATCAGCCGAGCTGCAGGCCCTGGGCTATGAGGCAATTAGGCCAGGTGCTGGCTCAATTAGCACATTCAGCACATCCAGCTCGCCACCCGGAGAATCGACATTGGCTGTGGCTGCCGGGGGTGTCCCCCCGCGCGCCGACTGGAAGTACAAGAGGACGAAAGTCAAACGCCGCCAGCAGCGCCTCAATTCACACAGCAATCTGCCTGGAAGCACCAATGCCTCCCACTCCCAAGCGCACTTCCCCCTGAACCTGCCGCCAAGGCAACGCTACCTGAAGGTCAACCAGGTGTTCGAGAGCGAGCGCCGCATGTCGCAGGCCGAAATGCAGCGCAATCACGGCAAAATCGTGCTGCTCGGACTCTTTGAGCTCTCCACATCCAGGGGACCACGGCCGGATGGACTGAGCGAACTGGGAGCTGCCACCATGGCCGTGGAGCACATCAACCGCAAGCGCCTGCTGCCGGGTTACACCCTCGAACTCGTGACCAACGATACCCAGGTGAGTAGAAGCTAGCAAGTCGGATGGCTCCAGTACACCCCCCGTTGGACGCCACTTCTAGGTGGCGCTCTTCCATTACGAAATTGAATTTTCATTTAGTAGCGCGTGCAACATTAAAACTTAATAAGAAAATCTGCAGCAACAAGAACGGAGCGGAGAGCAGCTGCGGTTGCGACCCTAAAAGAGGGGCAAATATGTCATCAACGTTCTGTCTCGGGCGCTTTTATTACGATGACTCGTTGCCGCTTTTGATGGGGCACGCAAATGTTCAAAAACACAGACACTGAGGAAAATAATTAGTATCTTCTTAGAAGTCAAGTCCTTTTCCATGATAGATAACAACATGTTGCTGAAAATGACTATGACTTCTATGTCATTCATCTGAGTTACAATTATAATATTAAAAGTTCTAAAGTAGTTATAGAAGTAAATTGTAAAGCTTTCCTCTTTCTTATAAGTATTAAGTTAATGTGCCCCACTACTGGCAATTCCACTCAATATTTCATGAACTAGATCTGTCAAGGATTCCTTTTTTCGAGTGTGTGCATATGCACATCCACCGAAGCAGACAGTCATATCTGGAGCCGCAGCTCCTGCTGTGCCTCTATCAAAGTCGACATTTTAAAAATGTTTATTGCGCCATCTTGCCGCTTTTTTATGGCGGCGGAACGAGTCGGTGAACAGCGTCCTTTGCTCCCGTTGCTTGCTCTGCCCTTCACTGCTCATCTCTGATGCCCTTTACTCCTCCATTTCTTCCCACTTTCCCGCTATTAATACAATCCCACAATCAGTGCGATCCTGGAGTGGGCGTGGATCGCTTTTTCCACGCCATCTACACACAGCCCTCGACGAGAATGGTGATGCTGCTGGGATCGGCGTGCTCAGAGGTCACCGAGAGCCTGGCGAAGGTGGTGCCCTACTGGAACATCGTGCAGGTGAGTCACCTGCGACTGATTAAAATGCAAATATCCACCTCATTGGGTTCATACGACCATGCCTCTAATCGGGCAATTTCTCAAAAATCTAATCAACTCACGTGCGTAGCTCGATTAGCATAAATGCTGCGGAATCCAGCCGATTCCAGCACCCCATAAACCTTGGCGCCATAAACATTTCCACGGCCCACAAATTATGAGGTCCACAAATTCACTTAGAACATTTGCATTTGCCCTTTGAAGTTTCAACTCGGCTGTGCGTGTGTTATGGTTAAATGAGAGGGCAAACCGGGAAGACACATGACCCGAAGGCTGGATTCCTAGAAGCATGTCTTGCATTTTAAGCGACCTTACGCATACGCGGATACTCTAACGATTTCCTTCGATTAAAGGTCTCCTTCGGCTCCACGTCGCCGGCGCTGAGCGACAGGCGGGAGTTCCCCTACTTCTACAGGACCGTGGCCCCGGATTCCTCGCACAATCCGGCGCGCATCGCTTTCATCCGGAAGTTTGGCTGGGGCACGGTGACCACCTTCTCGCAGAACGAGGAGGTCCACTCGCTGGCGGTGAACAACCTGGTCACCGAACTGGAGGCGGCCAACATATCCTGTGCCGCCACCATCACCTTTGCCGCCACCGACTTCAAGGAGCAGCTGCTGCTACTCAGGGTGAGCCCCAGACTATAAATAGCTTCACATCACCAGCAAATTAACAATAAATGCCAACTGCTGTATGATTTTATGGCACATTTATGTTTTTTTAGAAAACAAAGCCGAAACATAAACAATCAAAATGTTGATATGAAAGAAAAACATTAAACAAAACTAAAATTGAGTTTCCCACAACAATAATAATGATTTCAGTTTGCTCTTTTAATTAAACAAAAGTTTTACTATTTGGATTAAACGTATCTTAGTTTTCCTCACATTAAGTTACCACTTTTGCATGAATTGCTTTAAAGTTGATGTTATTCCAAAAATACTGCTTTACCATTTCATTGAAAAACAGCAATATTTATGTTTTTAACTCCCCAAATTGTTTTTTCACTTCCAAAATACAAAGTTATCTCATAATTTAATATTTTCACCGGAAAACAACATGTTTTTTGTTTAAAATGATTTGTTCTATCGCATGGATAAATGTCCCATCATTAGCAGACCACATCGCCCAGAGCTTCCATTTCCGCATGATTGTTGGCCATTTTTTTGCTGAGTGTGGGCGGGTACTAGGGCTAATCGAAGGATGACAAATGACAAATGGCCAAATGCCGTTCCGTTCCGTTCGTATCGCCACAGGAGACGGACACGCGCATCATCATCGGCAGTTTCTCGCAGGAACTGGCTCCCCAGATCCTGTGCGAGGCCTACAGGCTTCGAATGTTCGGTGCGGACTACGCCTGGATTCTCCACGAGAGCATGGGCGCCCCTTGGTGGCCGGACCAGCGTACCGCCTGCTCTAACCACGAACTGCAGCTGGCTGTCGAGAACCTCATCGTGGTGTCCACGCACAACAGCATCGTTGGAAACAACGTCAGCTACAGCGGACTGGTGAGTTGGCTGGGCGCCACTGGCAGAAAAAGTTGACTCCATTTTCCATATCTTATTCGAGGGTACTTCGGAGAACGAGGAGAAAGTTGGAAGAGGAAAAGTAGAAGTATCTGTCGTTCTGTTTTTAATCAAGCTTAAGACTTACCTTACCGTCATGGCCGTCATATGCCTTCTTCTAATGGTATTTTCCTAAACTTCAGTTCAGTTTTTTCCCAGTGATTTCCGTTTGAGAACAGACAACTGTCTCGTCCTTCTCGTTGTCCTGCTCCTTGTTTTGTCTGTCCTTTCTGCGCTCGTCCAAAATGAAATGATTTATTTGATTAGACAATCCCGAGGCTGCGATTGCGTTTGCGATGGCTTTAGCGATGGCGATGGTGATTGCCAAGTGGGCCGCCTAAGTCCTGCCTGTCATCGCATTCGCATTCGCCGTCGCAGACGCGTTTTTATGGCTCTTTTAGTGCTGGTCATGAAAATGTGGCAGGAGTGGGAGGGCTGCAAATCCGGGATGAGGAGCCGGTATAGGCCATCTCATTACTGGCGGCATTCCTGCGGCATTCGTGGTCCTTTTAATCGCATTTCCACTTCGCAGAACAATCACATGTTCAACTCTCAGCTGCGCAAGCAATCCGCCCAGTTCCATGGCCAGGATGGATTTGGTTCCGGTTCTGGCTCCAGGATCAGTGTTACTGCACCGCAATTGGACTCGCGTCGGCGCCGGCGGCGGGGTGTGGGAGGCGGCGGCGGAGGACACCTCTTCCCGGAGGCAATATCGCAGTATGCACCGCAGACCTACGACGCCGTGTGGGCAATTGCTCTGGCGCTTAAAGCCGCCGAGGAGCACTGGCGTCGCAACGAGGAGCAATCGAAGCTGGACGGATTCGATTACACGCGAAGCGACATGGCCTGGGAGTTCCTGCAGCAGATGGGCAAGCTCCACTTCCTAGGAGTTTCGGTGAGTGTTTAAGCCCAACATCCCCTCGAACCAAATATTTAAGGACACGTCCAATGTTCCTCTTGTAAAATTTGGAGTTTATAGTTTAGATAAAATATATTTTTGTTTTAGGGTCCCGTTTCCTTCAGCGGTCCAGATCGCGTTGGAACCACTGCCTTCTATCAAATCCAACGCGGTCTGCTGGAACCGGTGGCTCTCTACTATCCAGCGACAGATGCCCTGGACTTCCGGTGTCCCCGGTGCCGCCCCGTGAAGTGGCACAGCGGGCAGGTGCCCATCGCCAAGCGGGTGTTTAAGCTGCGGGTGGCCACCATCGCACCTCTGGCCTTCTACACCATCGCCACGCTCTCTAGCGTGGGCATCGCCCTGGCCATCGCCTTCCTCGCCTTCAATCTGCATTTTCGCAAGCTCAAGTAAGGGAAAAGAATTATTGGCTTACTCTTTTATGGCTTGTATAATTTTTGAATTTCCATTAAAAACCTATAAAATATTTAGTGCCCGATTCAAAGGGTTGAGATTTATCTTTCTCCTTACCTTCAGATAATATTTTACCTGATTTTCTTTCTCCCTCATCTCAGTGTGAGACTTATAATTTACTTTCCACCATTTTCATGATTTTTAGCTTAAAAATTTGGTGGCTAGTAGGTTAATATAGATGTTCCACACTCGATGATTACTCTGCTGTTTCCTTTCTCTTCGACGGGAACTCATAACCATGACCGTCTCCTATCTCACTCCACAGGGCAATTAAACTTTCCAGCCCCAAGCTAAGCAACATCACCGCAGTGGGCTGCATCTTTGTATACGCCACCGTCATCCTTTTGGGTCTGGACCACTCGACGCTGCCCTCGGCGGAGGACTCCTTCGCCACGGTCTGCACGGTGAGTTGTTATCCCTCGGCTCCGAAGTCCCCATCCATCTCCTCATCCGCCCTTTCACTATGCCTTCTTTGTTTGACTTTGACGGGTTTCTGGTGTGTAAGCAAGCATGTGGGGTTCTCATCAAATATGACTTTCAGTTTCAGGCTGCTAACTTTCGAGTCGCGTTCATGTGTTTGCTTTATTAATGCACTGGGAGAAATGTTAATAGGAGAATGGCTCAACATGCAGGAGTGTCTTTTAGAGGGATAAGAGAGCTTCTTTAATAAATATCAATTAAATTGAATGGTAAAACTTGAGCTTGAGTCAGCTTGTAATTTAGTGAGTTAAATGGTGGATTTTGTCCAGTGTATTTTCAAGAAACTCCAATGCCCCTGCTGGCTATAAATAGCCGTCGGATTTGACTGCAAATCTGCTGTTCTTTAAGCTAGAAGCCGAGTCGAGCTTGACGAGCTTCCCAACCAGATCTACTGCCCCTCCGCCTCGCCCCTTAACAACTGCCTCGAACACCACTCCTGGGAAATTTGCTGGTCGCTGTTGTTTCTGTTTCTGTAACCATTTCTCCTGCTGTTCCGCTTTTCCAGTTGCCTGTTTGTTGTTGTTATTGTTGAGGCCCTCGTGCGGCAGGGGAAGGGAGTTGTGGTAGGGGGTGGCAGGAAAATGCAAACACATGACACGGAAATTTACAACTTTTGTGATATTCCTTTATTTGCATAAATTTGAAACGCCCAACAAAGCCTCCACCACTCCGAGGATTGTGGTCCATTGATGACTTGTTTTCCCTCAATGTTGCCGTCGGCGTTGTTTTCTTTGGGTCTGCCTGACATGACACTTAGTGCTGCTACAGTATTACCTTTCCTAACCTGATCCGCTTATTGTGCTCCACAGGCCCGTGTCTATCTGCTCTCCGCCGGATTCTCGCTCGCGTTTGGATCAATGTTTGCCAAGACCTACAGAGTTCACAGGATCTTCACGCGCACCGGCAGCGTTTTCAAGGACAAAATGCTGCAGGACATCCAGCTGATCCTGCTCGTTGGCGGCCTGCTTCTGGTGGATGCGTTACTCGTAACTTTGTGGGTGGTCACCGATCCCATGGAGCGGCATCTTCACAACCTGACGCTCGAGATCAGTGCCACCGATAGGAGTGTCGTCTACCAGCCACAGGTAAGACAAGTTTGAACGATAAAGTGCCTGCAATTGGCAGACTAATTCCCATTTGAATTAATCTATTCGTTTCCAGTCATGTGGGAAATAGTTTCAAAGCATTTGTTTATTAATTTTAATCGGCTTTTTATGGAACTGCAGTGTATAGTTGCAGTCCGTAAAGAAAAATGCAAAAATGTCGCCGATTAAAATCAAAAATTCAAAAGCTCGCAAACATATTTGCTTATCGCAAATGAAAATAAAAGGCCAAAAAAGTGAAATATTATTTGCCTTGCCCATTATTTATTTAATTAAATCTGATTTCGATTTAAATGTTCTATTTAACGCAGATGCTAGGAATAACAACAAAAGCAGGTTGAATATAAAACATGTCCACTTTTTCTGGACTGTTATTTATTTACTTTGTGGATGCAATGCAATGCGTTCTTTAAAATTCGGAAAATAAATAAAATGCCTGAATGGGAATAAAGTTGTTTATCTTATAATCCTTTTCAGGTTGAGGTCTGTCGTTCGCAGCACACCCAAACGTGGTTAAGTGTCCTGTACGCCTACAAGGGTCTCCTTCTCGTAGTGGGTGTCTACATGGCCTGGGAGACTCGCCACGTGAAGATCCCTGCCCTAAACGACTCTCAGTACATCGGAGTGTCTGTCTACAGTGTGGTCATCACCAGTGCCATTGTCGTGGTTCTGGCAAACCTGATTTCAGAGCGAGTTACCCTGGCCTTCATCACCATCACCGCTCTAATTTTAACGAGCACCACCGCAACCCTTTGCCTGCTCTTCATCCCAAAGCTACACGACATCTGGGCCAGAAGTGAGTATTAGTTCACGTAACATGATATTGTAATCATAAACAATATGCAAAATACATCTGACTTCATCCCCTTTTAATCTCACGTGGACTTTCCCGAAACATAACAGAGCTCTTAACCGACCATTAACCCCCTTGAAACACACCATTTCGCCCACAGACGACATAATCGACCCGGTTATCCACAGCATGGGCCTCAAGATGGAGTGCAACACACGCCGGTTCGTGGTGGATGATCGCCGAGAACTGCAGTACCGCGTTGAGGTGCAAAACAGGGTCTACAAAAAGGAGATCCAGGCCCTGGACGCCGAGATTCGCAAGCTGGAGCGGCTGCTGGAATCGGGACTTACCAACACATCCACAACGACTTCATCCTCCACATCACTCCTAACCGGAGGAGGTCATCTGAAGCCGGAACTAACGGTTACGACCGGGATTTCACAAACTGCGGCAGCCAGTAAAACCCGAACTCCTAGTATATCGGGAATTCTGCCGAATCTTTTGCTCTCCGTGCTGCCACCGGTGATTCCCCGGGCCAGTTGGCCCTCAGCGGAGTACATGCAAATCCCAATGAGGCGTTCCGTGACCTTTGCATCCCAACCCCAATTGGAAGAGGCCTGCCTGCCAGCGCAGGACCTAATAAACCTCCGGTTAGCCCACCAGCAGGCCACAGAGGCTAAAACAGGCTTGATTAATCGTTTACGAGGGATATTTTCGCGCACCACCTCAAGTAACAAAGGGATCCACGGCCAGTTTGGCCGATCAGAAGGGTCTGAAGGCGGCCTTCAAATCGCACATGGGTCTGTTTACCCGTCTGATTCCCTCCTCGCAAACGGCCTCCTGCAATGCCATCTACAACAGCCCCAATCAGGATTCCACCCCCGTTGAATCGTCCGCCCACCCGAATGGCAATCACCTAAAACCCATCCACAGGGGTTCCCTGACCAAAAGCGGCACCCACTTGGACCATCTGGCCAAGGATCCGAATTTCCTGCCAATCCCCACTATTTCTGGAGGCGAGCAGGGGGACCAGCAGTTGGGTGGAAAGTATGTGAAGCTGCTGGAAACCAAGGTGAACTTTCAGTTGCCCAGCAACCGGAGACCTTCGGTGGTGCAGCCACCTCCAAGCCTAAGGGAAAGGGTGAGGGGCTCACCACGCTTTCCCCACCGCATCCTGCCGCCCACTTGCAGTCTCAGTGCCCTGGCCGAATCCGAGGACCGTCCCGGAGATAGTACCTCCATTTTGGGCAGTACCAAGTCCATTCCTCGCATTTCCCTGCAACATGCCACCAGTGGAGGCACCTGGAAATCCATGGAGACGGCGGCTAAGTCGAGACTTTCCCTCGGCGATTCCCAGGAGGAAGAGCAGACGCCTGCGAATGGCCTGGATTAAATACGATGAACTGTCCATTGACCATTGTCCACTGTCCAAGTCAAAATCCTCGTCAATTAGAAGCGAAACACCAAGCAATTATTTAACGACACGCCCACGACATCTGCCCCCAGTTAAGAGCGTGTGCAACTGACCAATCATCAGCTTAAAGCAATCAAACGCATTAGGGTAAACGCTAGATAAGTCACGGTAGGAACCCCCACTTCGCCAACTTCCCATAGCTAGTCATCTTCCTGAGCCTAGCAGAAGCAGCTGCACCGAGAAAACCGCCAGCACCTTGTGCTGTGCCTAGAACTAGAAAGAAATTTACAAATTAAAGTAAGAAATTTTCAAACATATAGAATTCGTCTAGATATTCGTGTTGAGTCTCCGTTTTTAATACCATCAAAGTTTTCTAAAAACTGTCATCAGTATTCGCTTATTGAATGGAACTTATACCCCCTCGAGATGCCAAATTTGTATATATTTTGTAAATTATAAAAATTGATTTTATGCTGTGTTAAGGTTTTCACGGTCCAAAGCTCAGAACTTTCTTTGCATCGCTATTTATGATTAGCTGCCCTCTGCCAGAGTGGGTATTTATTAAAGGTGTTGTAGGAAAAATGATCTTTAAATTATATAATTGTTAGGCTAACCTCGAGTTCGTTAAAGCATAGTTAAAGTCCTAATCTCATCTCTCGGTGTAGAACCTCCTCCGCAATGTGATCGACCCTGGGCCACGTAGAAGCTCTCATCGTCGGCCAGTTCCACTTTCCCCGCCAGTTGTGATTAACCCTCTCCTTAGCCCTTTACCACTTATTATCCTAGACTTAACTAGCTGCATTAGTGTTTGTTTTCTTGTTGTTGTGCCGCCGCAGGACGGCTGTGTCTGCGGTGTATCTACAGTGTATCCAGTGAGCAATACTAAGTATCGTACTTAAAGTTTAGAGTTAGCATCAGCCGCGAACCAGCATCAGAATCAGAATCAGTATCAGAGTAGAGTAGGGGTAGCAGTCAAGGCTGTATGATTAATCATCGCAGACGAACCATGAATCATGTAGGAGTCCAGAGACGTAGGGCGAAAGCCAAAGCACTTGAGAACTGCTCAAGACTAAGCCGTAAGTTTTAGCATTGTAATCCAATTCGATTCCACTCCGCAATCCAAAGTCCAAAGTCCAAGCTCCACACCTTCCCCCTTCCAACCACTCGAATAACTTGAATAAACAGAAAAGTCTAAGCAGAAATGCCAAGCCAGAATAATGATTAATTAATTAAACTTGTTTTATTGAGTGCCGCCTCGGGGGAACCGAAACCGCTGCAGATTCGGATACAGATACAAATGTCGGGCGGGCCAAGAGAAATGACTTTGTACAAAGCCGTGAAATGAGTTGGCCGGGCGGATCCGGGTCCTGCACAATGGCCACCGAAACTAATAGAGTTCGGTGATTAAGTTGACGCTGCAATTTGTTACCATAAATAAATAAATAAATCGGATGACCGAAAACGGCGGGCGGTCGACCTAACCTGAACTCCTCCGTCTCCTGGTCCATTGCTCCTGCATTTTCCCTCCGTAAATCCTCGTGAGTTTGGTGGCGTGTAAATTTATCTTTATGCTCGTAAAACAAAAAGCACATGAAACGGAATCGGCCAAATAAACAGTGACGACAACGAGGACGTGTTTTCCAAGGGACAACTGCACCGAGAGAAATCTCAGCCACTAGATATGGAGAGCTATTTGTGTGCTTTCTAATTCTCATTATTACTTTCAGGTGATGTATCCTTAAATGAAACTAAAATATTCAAATAAGCACATGTAGCCTCTTTGCTGAAGGGAAAGTATCTTTTTTTATATCTTTTATATATTCTGCAATATTTATTTTGTGTGCATAAATATTCTGTGGCAGGGGATAGATGTGACGGCGACACTCGTAGCCAGAACGAATGAATACGCCAACATTTTTCATGGCTCCATTCAGTGGCTTCCAGTCCCCATTTTCCGTCGCTCCAAGCAGACGCATCAGGATTTATCCCCGCGCACTTTGTTGCCACTTGGCTCACGGTCGTCGGTCGTCGGTCGACGTTTGTCGGTTGGAGGTCAGAGGTCGGAGCTTGCGGGTCGCAGGTCGTGCTCCGCTTCCCCTCAATAAAACGGAGCTGGCTGTCTTTATATTTGCTTTATTACAGTTGGAGTACCTTCTGCCCGAAGGGCTGTCACAGCGGCGAAATGTTTATTTATTGCACATATTTGCCACAGCTGCTGCCCTCTGCATCCCCATTTGCTTTCGCTTCATCCAGCCGACGACAACATTTTGTGGAGTCGCAAAAGTTGCGCAAATATTAATTTTAATCAAGCTAATTAATATGGTCAAGTCGGAGCCTGAGACAGACCCACAAAAAAGACGGAACGACCAAACGAAATGAATAAAAATGGGGACATGTTCAGTGGCCATATCAGATTGAATTTCCCGGGGAGTTTGTCAGGAATAAAATGTTTCATCAGCTTTCTTTACGGGTATCATTTGCAGGAGAAATCTAAGGAAAATGTCATTAATATTCAGTTGTACTAAAAGAATGGTTATTTATGTTCTTGATTTATTTATTTATTAATATGTTATATAGGATAGACCGCACTTTGGCGTTTTTATATACCCGGGGGAGTTGAAACCCCTTTGGTTCCTTCGCGACATACGCCACTGTTCATGTTTTTCTCCGGAATTGACAAATGGGCAGCTGGGTCAACAGGTTGAGCCCACGCGCAAAAAAGGGCACCACACACAATGTTCCGTTCTGGTTTTGCGGCTCCCTTTGGTGGGTCTCGCCCCGGTGGTTCTGCGGTCGGTTCATTAAAGTTGAGCCCCCGGGCGCAAAGCCCACTTAATTAGCACCCGCTCCAAAGGCAATTTACGCATATGCCAAAGTGCATTAAGTGAGCAGATCTCTCTTGATGCGATGGTGTCTCTGCGGAGCCACGCGCCAATTCCCGCTAATTATTCAGGATTATCATCGGGAGAACTCCCACACACACTCTTGTATGGCTGGCAACAATGCTCAAGGGTCTGCAATGATTCCCACGAGGAACCCGACCTCCACAAGCTTCTGCACTTTATTTACCTTTGGCATAAAGCGCTCGAGTTTATTCCCCCTTTCCCCTCCAGAGGTGGCACATAAAACGGCACTAAGTTATTTTCAATCAATAAAAACAACATAAACAAAAAGCAAGCTGTAAAAAATACACTCAAGTGCGAGAGCACACACACGTGCCCTTTGCCAGAAAAAGGGAAATGAAAGGAAACCACTGTGCTCCCAATTTGCCAATAAATTTGCCTGCCATGCACTGCCTGTAATTCAAAGGAGCGAGTGAACTGAAACAGCAACACATAACAAGCCAAAAGCCTCGTGATGGAAAAGCGGGAAGAACTGAGGAATTTGGGGGGAAAAGCCAAAGCCAAGCGATGCCGAAATGTTGGCCAAAAAGTTTTCCCCTCCTCCGGCCTTTCTTTCAACTTTTCTTTTTAGCTACGTGGCTGCTGTCAGCGTTGAAAATGACAAAATATTCTCCCACACAGGTCGGGATCTCTTATGGCTCCCATCCCCGGATCCTTCTGCTTAATCAGGCATAAAAACATTCACGTTAAACATTTTCCGCACTGATGACAACTCGCACTTTTAATTGAGATGCGAACACTGAGGGCAAAAACGGAGATTGTTTTGTGATGACTTTGAAGTTACTCCTTCGTTGCTGCCCCGCTTTTAGTTTCTTTAAATGGTTTAAGCTTTTTATTTCTTATAATTTGTTTTTGATTTTTTAACTTTTTATTTATCGTTTTTTCGTTTATTTCTTTTTCTTCGCAGTGAAGTGAGATCTAAAGGTGCCAGGCCATAGGCGCTCTAATTGGTTATCTCGGGGGAATCGCGGCGAAGGAATCACACCCGAGCGACAACGGGTAAGTGGGAAATGGGAAATGGTAAACGAGTAGCGGAAAACGGATTTCTAGCCCAGAGAGCGGCTGATTGAAAATTTTCATGGCGCGGTCGGTAGTTGAGGGGGAGCCCGACTTCATGCAAATTCCGAGAGATACAATCAGAGTCAGCGAAATGGCGAGTGGTTGAGCTGTTGCCATTCAAGTCATGATTGCAATTTATTATAAGCTAGCTGTAAACAAATGCAGGGAAAAATCTTCGCCGTTATTGTCGCGACAACTGGAAAAGACAGGAAACAGCTGCCAGCAGGAATAGAAGTGTCGTCCCGTGAATGTGGCTCTGGATGTGGATGTGGATGTGGATGTGGAAGATGAGGATGCACTCACATGTTCAGTTACCATGGGAAATTACGCGAGTGGCATGCCAGCACTCACACACGCGCACGTCTGACGAAGAAATAACATAATGTTGTTGACACACTGCACACTCACATACTCACACACACACACACATACACGTAATGCCAACTAGAAGCGGAAACGGAAGTAGCAACATGGCGACAGATGAGAAAGAGAAGTCGAGGCTGCCAACTGATTGCTGTAGATGGCAGTAAGAGGGAGGCAGGCGGCAGAAGCTGGTTAAGAAACTGGAGATTCAAGTTCAGAAGCCCAAAATTCATATACCCTATCAATGGATTTCTATTTCTAAGGCCCTTAGCTGCCATTGATCTTGGCTCAAAAGCCATCTCAAACATAAATCAGCAAACGAATCTTTCATAGTCATCAGTAACTATAGCATTAACTCAGTTAATAATACAACATCATCTGAAATGTTTAAGGAGATAATGGTTCAAACGATTGGCAAACCCAAGTGCCCCATAAAAGTGTAAAAGGCGAGGCGAAGACTGCGTCTTGGCAGCCAAATGATTAATTTCAACAAGCTGCCACAAACTGTTGATGGAGAAGCCAGCAGAACGGGGAAATCTCAGGGAAAGAGTGTCCTTCGGGGGCGAGGCAAGAGCAACTGTCGTACGTGTCTACGCTCGAGTTTATCGAGTATGAGCGAGTTTATCGGGGAAAATGCAAACTTCGGGGACAACGCCAAGAAGCGAGACATCGTTGATTTTGCGCTCCAGAACGTAATGAACCACAAAATAACAGAAGCTCAAGGATTCGCTTAAGCATTCGCAATCCCTTCAAATCTGGCAAATAGCTGGCAATATTTGCTGTCCAATCTGCTCCTTCGCATTATGATTATGTGGCACGTCCATGTGGCAGCCAACTTGATTTAGTATTTATCACATTCGGAGCATTTTCTCTCTGGTCTTAAGTAATACGACATTCACTATGGTAAGCTCTTCTTTTGTCAAGTCTTTAGAGTTTAATTTTTTTACCACTGCAATTTTCTTCCAGCCACCTCTGTTTTGACAAGGTACGGCCTGCCAAATCCGAGAAATAACTTAAATATTGGCCCTACAATCTGCCCACATACGTCATGATCGGATTACCTTGTAAATGGTAACCGTCGAAGTGGAACGGAATTTGATTTGCATTTCTATTGAAAACGGAACCATTGCCTTCCGAAAAAAGAGATGGCCAGACCAAGTGCTTGGTGCCCAGGAGCGGAGATCAAATAACCGGACCGAGAGTTCAACTGTCAAAACGTTTTCTGGAAAATTTCTCAATTCTCATGGTGGCTGAGTTCCTGGCCATCTCCCTCGGCTTCCTCTGTCTTCTCTGCCCGTTCGACCCTTTCGCAACCCAGTGTGCTGTGTTTGATTTGCGGTTGTGCATCCATTTCACTGCAAATGAAGCAAACGAGCCGTGCGG